TAGCGTGCTTTGGACAAGGATGACCTAAATGGTTGCTGTTATGTTTGTTTGGAGCGAACGGGAACGAGAAATATTTCTTATCCACCTTATATCCGAATTCAAACAAATACACGCTTTTAGTGCCTTCATACTACAGCGAGAATCTCTGGCGACCAGGGTGAATATCGGTCGAGGAGATCCTCGGCAGGGGGGTCGTACCTGTCGGGCTGGTCCATGGGGGGTCGTACTCTTGGGGGGTCAGTAACAGCAGTGGTATCGTGGTGCAGATAGGTAAGAGGGTATATCAGGATGTCGAAAACATGATATTAAATTTTTCTTTGCAGGTTCAGTCGCTCCATTCCTCCACCTTCATGAGAAGGGCGTATTTGAAGGCAGTACAAAGAATGAAAGTGCATCCCCGCAAAGAAGAGGACTGCCACATGTGCGCACGCGCTGCAAAGGCACCTCCTCTGCCTATCGCTCGCTCCTTCTCCCTTAATACCTCGCTGAGAATGACACTGTTGTTAGGGACCCTGTCGCAAAAACGACAACCGTGAAGGAAAAGCCCTGGGCAAATGAAGTTGTTCTTTAGGTTGTAGGAGTTACGAAATGCGTTTACTACAATGCAGCTTCTGTCAACTGGTCATGATCATATGACACCTTCGAATCGATTCTGCAACTTCGAGTGAGGTCGGATGCATGGCCTATACTCAGACAAAATTCGATGATGACGATTGCCCCTTTTCCTATTGCTTATGTTGGGAGGATGTTTTCTAGACCCATTTCAAGCGTTGCCAACAATTACACTTGCAATGGTGAAGGAAGGGAGCGGATTTTCAGGTGGCCGGATCCGTCCTCGTTACATACTCGACGCAGATATCTTCTCAACTAGGAAATGTAGAAGAAAGCTAAGAAGACCATCAGAAAGCGCAAACCTTTCGCTTTCCAAAACTATCTTCCCTTTTTCAGGACCTTACGACATTTAGAGAGATATTGCTTTTGAAGTGGCAAAAACTAGCATGGAAAATTTCAGCGTCCTCGACATTTACTCGACGAAATTTGAGAGACCCTATCTTTCTGCATGGAAGGCTTTCAGAGCAATTTCAATACTTCTTGGAAACGCGAAATCCAGCTCTATCTAACCCTACCTCAAACTGCTTCAAAGGTTATGAAATGGAGGAATGCAACCTTTTCATCGAGGGTGTAGATTTCGACGGTTTTTTTCGGGATTTCAGCAAATCTGACCCAGTGACAATCGCGCCGCAGCTGCCGTTGAATGATACACTCGGCTGTTTCGATATACTCAATTAAGGAAGAAAAAACCTTAAACAACACAACACAACCTTAACAACCAACCAATTTAAATGGATTCGTTTCGCTCCTGTCTCAGACGAACCTTATGAATTTCGTCAATTTCCCGGAAGCTCGGCAGGAAGCAGGAATTAAGATTAAATCGCAACCCCGTGCCTTCAGGATTTCTGTGCATTTCTGAACGAACCTGACTTTGAGGTCACACAAAGTTAATGCCTCTTTCCTCGAGTCGATATTTCAGTAAATACACAAAAGTGTGCAGCGATGAAAGACAGTGCATAGATGACAAGATGAGGCGTCCATAACATTATTTTGCAGGATTTTTTTTGATTAATTAATTGAATTAATTTGCTCTGTTTTAGGGGGTCGTCGATTTTGGGGGGGGTCGTACTTCTGCGACCACGTACTCGACACGATTTTCACCCTGCTGGCGACTATAGCAGCGGCCAGTTCGTTCTTCCCAAGGTGACTTTGGCGTGCGTGGCAGAGCGCCATGTGTGCGTCTACACCGTTGCACCGAATCTGACGACTATTTGCCGCGTAGGTTACGGTATAGGAAGCGCCGGAAGGGAACATTATAATCTTGTGCCGTTGAATCGGCCGTTGATCGATACACTCGGCTGTTGTGATATACTCAAGCAGGAATTAAGATTAATCGCAACCCCGTGCCTTCAGGATTTCTGTGCATTTCTGAACGAACCTGCCTTTGAGGTCACACAAAGTTAATGCCTCTTTCCTCGAGTCGATATTTCAGTAAATACACAAAAGTGTGCAGCGATGAAAGACAGTGCATAGATGACAAGATGAGGCGTCCATAACATTATTTTGCAGGATTTTTTTTGATTAATTAATTGAATTAATTTGCTCTGTTTTAGGGGGTCGTGCCAGGATCTCGATTTCGGGGGGGGGGTCGTACTTCTGCGACCACGTACTCGACACGATTTTCACCCTGCTCTCAACACTCACGAGAGCGTGAGAGCCCGCGAAAGCGGTGAGAGTGAACGTGCGCATGAGAAAGACCAAGAAAAGAAAATGATGCATCTTACTTCTGTGACATCAAACACTCCAGAGTTTTTGGCCAGAAGCCTGAGGTGGCAAAAATGACGGCACATCAACATTGGTGCAAATCCTTCAGAGGGATTTTGTCCTACATAAAATTTGAGACAGCACTTGCGCTTTTCCGTAACATTGCTTATTTGTTCTTCATGATTCCTAGTAGAGTCCCTTCGGCTTCCAATCGTATATCTACCAAAGATTATAAGCTTCCAGATGTATAAACTGATAAGCCGGCTAGTCGACGACGGCTCGTTAAACTGAAAGGTTTGTTGGATTCTTTCACTCCGCTCAAAACACACAAAAGCTGTCTAAGCTCACAGCTCAGCCGCTTTTAATTTTGTTGAAATCAAAAGCTGTAACATCTGCTGAAGCTTTCAGCTTAGCAGATATTACAAATATTACATTCAATGATTAGCTGCTTAATCACTCAAGTGGTTGTAGGATATGGTAGATCGTGGATTGTTGTTAAAGACAGCGATAAACGAAGTGGAACAAAGTCAAGCGTCTGCTTTTATATTTATTCTGCAGAAGCCAATTGCCATAAGTGGAGACAATGTCACAAAATAGGACAGATTATTAAGCAAATGGAGTATATGCTCGACAATACAGGTATCTAAAGATCTTAATGTGAACTATATTGAATCTGGATCAGAATAGGAACAGATTCGTTACGTTGTAGTGTTTTCAGAGGTTGACAGGCCGTATTTAGTAAACTTTCTCCTGCCTAAGATCAGCTTAACTGGACATGCGACTATGACTGATAGAAGAAGGATCGATTTTTCGTCATAGAATCATCCCGAATTGCTCCAAAGAAGTCATCATTGTCAGGCTCCCAAACAATGACTCTATTGTACCTCATCCCTGGTCTCAAACCTGACGGACCCCCCCCCTCCTACCCATGGAAAATTCACGATGAGAGCGATCCCGCTCAAAGCGCAGTCTAATATTGGTTCATTTGTATCAAGAAAGGCGGTTATTCTGGAAATACGCTTCATGCACATGTGTACGATGGGACATAGTTTGTGATGACTTGCTATAAGCGAACAGATGGGGGGGCGTTCGTATAAAGGCGCCGTGACTGTCGGATGTGTTTGTTAAGCCAATCACTACGTTCGTGAGCTAAGGTGAATTCGGAGCCGATGGGAAAGATCATAGGCTCTAGAGTGGAGTGAGCGAGCTAACACGGTTGTTGTAACTTTTTTCCTGCAACCTCACGGAATGTACACGCTGGCAGACAATTGTGCCCAGAGAAGTAGGTCATAACACACCCAGCACGGCGTGCGAGAAGTAGGTCCTACACACCAGCAACCGTCGCCGTGCTCGGTGGATAGACGAGGGACGTCAAGCAGAATACGTTCCCGCATTATAAGGAAATAGGAGAAGGATGCATGCAGTAGACTTTCTTTGCAAGGAATATTGCGACCTCCTAATATTGTAATGTGCAATACAGTGACCGCTGACGACCACCTTGCTCATGCGAGGAAGCTGAAGGCTCTTCGCTTTGAACAGTTGAGAATAACAAGCAGTTATCTCCAGCCCTCAGCGTGATATTGCTGGGCCACGTGGTAACCGCTTACTGCTCTAGATCTCGTATTCTCCCAAACACCAACTATTTTCGAACCTTCAACACCATACATACGGCCAAAACAACGAACCGAGGATGTCGAAAAGGCGCTCACCGAGTTCATCAGGATCCAGCCGTCTCTGTTGGAAAGGCATACATGACCTACCCAAATGTTGGCAAAAAGAACATAGATTTTGATGGAGCCCATTACAAATGGCTCGTGCCTTGTTGTTTTAGTTTTTTTGTGATGATCGTTCAGGCTTCAAATGTTCAAGGATATATGCTCAACCTATAACTGTTCCCAGAATTGATGTCCTCTATAGTACCTCGGCCCTGGTCTCAAACCTCACGGAACCCCCCTCCAAGCCTACTGAAAATTCACGATGACAGCGATCCCGCTCAAAGCACAGTCTAATATTGGCTCATTTGTATCAAGAAGGGTGGCTATTCTATCCCTGAAAACTACCACTCTTCACTGCAAAAGTGGATGCAATGAAATAGAAGTGATTTGAGAGCTTTTACTGTGCAAAGCTGGTTCAGCGTCATTTCTAGGAGCAATATCCACTCAGAAGGTTGGATGAGGGTTACACGAACGCGGACTTTTTCGTCCACCCATTAAGCCGTCTTCACTTGGATAGAATAATACAAACCAAAGCACTGATATAAATCGATAATCACTTTATTCTCCTTTCTTTTAACTCAAACCCGTCATTAAGACAACAAAACATCAAAAATTAGTCCACACAGTATTATCAAATAATGCTTATAATTTCATAGGTATAATATTTACAATCATCACTTGCATTAAAATAATATGGGAGGTTCCAGGGTTCACACAGTTTAGGCATCCTAATTATATTTTTCTATTTACAGTATCAGGCGCTGAGCCCAGCCTACTCCAGGTGATCACTGTGACATTGAAATCTTAAATTATGCGAAGCTCGTACGAAATTCAGAACATTGATCACATAACTATTTTAAAAAAGCGGCTACGGTAGTAAAGCGTGGCCTCATCTGACTCTAAGCAGATATAGGTGACTTTCGACGGTCTATAACATCTTCGGGAGGAGCCGGGTCGCAGATTGACGGATTATATAGAGAAGAACGCGAATGTGTACTCGAGACGGCCCTTCTCTATGGTCATGTCGACATAGCCTGAAAAATCGATAGTCATCTTTTGTACAGCGTAATTCTACATTGAGAGCCCCCTAAGGAAACACGGAATAGAGTGAAGGTGAGGTTTTCCGGTAGAAAATAATGGGAACGGATTTAGTTAGATTGGAGAGACCGGGTGGAAATTGTTAGTAGAAATCGTTTCTTTATTCGTGCAATTACCAATTTCGAGCAGCACCTCCTACGGGCTTCCCATTCACAGCAACAAAAAGTGGGTTTCGCGTCAATGAATTTAAGATCAAAGATCCCCATTCGAAAATCTCATCACTCTATGGAGGCAAAAGGCTCCCCACAATGGAATATCTACGCTTATTTGCAGTTTCAGGAAATCAAACAACAAAGTCAGAAATGCTTCGGTTGGGAGAAGTAAAGCTGCTTGTGGATGGATTGAAGGCTCTGTATTTCTCACCTTCTCGGGTCCTCAAATCAGTATGTGTCAGCTCCTGTCTCGGCGGCTGCTTTAAGAGTCTGTTCCATGCCGGCGATCAAATAGCTTCTTGCTGGGAAGGTCACTCTCACGGAACTGCGCGCAGCAGGCTATCTGAATAAGAAAAATGTGATTTAACATTTTCACTTTTGGGTCTTACAGACCTGTTGGTTGTCGCAATGATGTTAAGTTATACGACTCAATCTCATAAGCAATGTAAAATAAAGGCACAGCCCAGGCAGAAGTGTGAAGGATTCTCTTCGGTCTGTAAGATAGACGCCTAGAGGACATTTAAGACGTGGCACTCCCATGTATGGAAAAAACCTATAAGGAGGCTAGAGCTCTGCAAATTAAGCTGCAGCAGATGCAATATTAGCCGTCCATAGCAGGCTTTTGTCTGGCGCCCTCTCAACTATAACGCTCTCTCGTCTCATACTCTCCTCTCCGCGCCCACTCTCTCACTATCTTAGCACAGCCGCATTACGAAGTTGAACAAGCCTATTAGCGTTTTCGCGGCACTTTCCTTTTTTCCTTTTATGATGGCCCTCGCCGATATAGTTTCGTAGTCATTAGTTTAAGGATTACACCGTTTGATCTGAAGAGCTTCTTAAAGCAACAGTTCAGGGAGGGTCCGAAAATTTCAATGCCACTACTACTGAGGGATACACGAGCCCTAGTGAAGAACATATGCAGTGGAAATAATAAACGAACTTACCTCAGAAACTCAAAAACAGGGTGGAAAGTCCCTCAAACATGGGTGTTCTTGGGGATTTCCCCAATCCCCCCCCTTGCCGGCCGTCATTGGACGCGTCGGCAATCGTGCTCGTTTTGGGACCACAGGGAAAATTGATTGAAAAATGGAGCGCGTTTACAGCGGGCACGTTCAGACAACTCGTCCAACGTGCGTCTTTATCCATTGCTGAGCGGCAGAGGGAGAGTACCTGTCTAAGACCCTCCCCGACGTTTTTTTCCAGTTTTTCATACATTAATCGTCTGGTTTTCATCTACAACTTCATTATTGGTGGTTTTTTCCCGCGAAACCGTTCCTGAACTGTTGCTTTAAGCAATACCTTTTCGTGCTGTCTTGCTTTTCGTTCGGTCGTGTTTGGCCCAGTTCGAGTATGACTATTTATTTATTGTTTATCTGTTTATTATATGTAGAAAATACGAGTTCATTCTGGAAAACAGCCAAACAACAACACAAATGCCATTGTGACTTCGTACAGAAATGTCTATGGCGGTTCCTGGACGTTCTTGATTTACCTTTCCGGGAGTTGTGTCGCTCTCAGGCGAGGCGGTACAATAAAGCTGTATTTGTTGTCATTTGTTTGCCCACGTACATTATTCATCATCTTATTCAGTTCGTATTTATTAGTGTGAAGTTCCAGTGAAATCGTCTGCCAACCTGTATAAGCGTCCGAAATGGTGCTGATGAGAGCGTGTGGAGAGCATAGTGTAAATCCTGGCTCGGACACGGCAACGGAGTAAGCTGAAATCCCGAGCAGTTGTAAGACGTGCGAAAATCACACAAAGCTAAAATTTCTCGAACTGTACACTAATCGTTCTCCACCATGACATCAACATTGCAGGGTGAGAGTGTTTGAGTTTATGGCAACGATGAGTGGATTGGGGACCGAGCAGTTCCAGATAATCCACCAGGACGTAAACGAGTGAACAGTTCTTGAATCGAGAGTTCTAGAGCTACAGCAAATGAACTTTGCAGGACTATTATGCACCATTTAGCTGCTTCCATATTGTTCATATTGATAAGCCACTCACCTTCAACTACCGGTATCAAACCCAGTAATAAGGCGTGCTTTTGGAAAGCTCAAGAAGTCAACGGTTTGCTGATTGCTGCCTCACCTCCAATGTTAGTTGTCGAGTTAAGACGAGTTACGAAACGCGTCCACTTCTTTCATGAGTATGGTGACTTCGGTGAGATTGGTGGCAAGACGTAGAAGACGTGGTGCGGACGAAGCGACGAAAAGAAGCGGACGACGTCGTCCGCGCGAGTCAATCAGGCGGCACTCAGACGGTTCATCGCCAAGCTAAATACCATTGAAGTAAAATACATTCTCAAAGGAAAACAAGGTTTCTGAAGATTATTAGGCCCAAATCTAAGTAGCGCAATTTTCAATTTGAATTCACAGTCACAAAAATGGATGCGTTTTTTGATTAGCCTTGTCTGTTGCTACCGCTAAGGACCCTGGCGCTGAGAACACTCAGTAGGCGCGGAGTACATCGGACGAGTGGACGCAGAATCTTCGCGGATTCTAAGGTGTAGCCGTTGGAAGGCAAGAACATTGTATATTCTCAAGTTAATCTTCATCAGTAATCCTATGAAAGTGCATCTCACAGTCACAAAAGTGTTGTTTAATTGTATCCAAAGAAATAGTTTGGTATTGAAATTTGACACCTATAAGTTCTCGGACAGAGAGGAAAGACCAGGTTTTCGGCAGGGCCTTCGTCAGAGTGTTGATGCCCTTTACTACTTTTACTTCCTTTCGCCTCTAGGTTTACCATATAGGGAACTCAGCCCTCAATGGCTTTTTGTCCATGGCAGACCGTGGAGGTCCTAAGAGTGACCCGTAATGTGGAGCTTCCATAAATTTTTAGAAACACCTGGTGTTCAGTTTCAATAAAGACTGGTCATTTTCTTATCGTTTGTACCTTTTACTAACAGAGAGGAAAGTAGGAAGACTCTGTCGACGTAGGCTTTGCATGCGCGCTTCGCAGTTATCATAATTTTTGCTCACTCTGAACATCATATCTAAACTAGCCGCAGGGGTCGGTACCAGAAGAAAACGCGCTACATCTTTTTTTTTTCGTTACGGACTTTCAAGCTGTGGAACTGCATATTGTTCCGCCAATAATATAAATAGCCCTTATCCTTCCCACAGGAAGCGCTTTATTCGCTCAGGCTTTAATTCGCAGGGTGTCCTAACGTGTTGCTCAAGAGAATACGGCAACGTCACTTCTTGTTTCTCAGGTAATTTGGGAGGTGCAGTGATCTGCCAGTAACAAGTCCTAATATTGAAGGGAAGCGTTGTGCAAATTAACGGTAGACGTCACGCAGGTTTTCATTATAAATCGGAAAATGTGTGTTTGGCTTTTCCAAAAACTAGTCAATGTTTAAGCAATCTTTCAGGAATGCTCAAATGTGGTGAGGCAACATTCGAAACAGGGGCCGTATTGGTGGAGCAAAAGCCGAGACGAGATGGGAAAACTCCAGGGTGAACATAATTTGATATTATTATCACCAGAATCCGGTTCCTTCCTGAACGGCGTCAGTCCCAAGCACAGAGAGCAGCTCACTCACTCGAACGTCCTCCCCCCCCCCGCCTCCCCTCCTTCTGGACACAGCGCAAATTTGGGTCTTTGACGAACTATGTAACACTTTCAGAAGGATAAACACTAAGTGCGTATTCTTAAATGACCCGAAGCAACAGAGATGGTGCGAATTTAGATATTTCAAGACCTCAGAAGGAGGAACGACAAATTAGCGCTTTTTCTGGCGCCGAATTTTTGGCTTTTCTGATCCTGAGTAAGTGTTCATAGGCATTTTGCTTGAGTGAACGTCAATTTCACGGGATTCAGCCCGAATTTCTCCTAATCACCCAACTGCCAAACTAAAACACCCCTGTTAGTTTGTCATAGCAGAATATTTGCTTAGCTCGTCTCGCTCCTCGTAATGGAATTGCGTATCAGGCACTAATCGCTGACCCATGCGGATTAGGTTCGATCGACGACAAACACATTCCGCGATTACGGTACTACTTATTGGCTACGGTGGCGCAACAAATCTCCGACCAAGTCAAAAACTATACTATTGAGAAGTTTGCTCGCTATTTCGTTGACTAGAAAGACACTTGTCGCATCTGAGAGAGTGCTCGCATGTCAAGGGTATCCGAACCCGTTTTCGCAGCACATGAGCGGAGATAAAGCTTCAGCTTTCTAGCGGCACAACCATTGAGATCGGATGCCCTCACAGCAGCCATTTCACCACGTAGAAGTTGCCCAGCTGTGCATGCCAAACAAAGGAATTTCTTCAGCGAGTCATTACTGTGTGTTCGTTCCGGGTGGGGGGTTTGGGGTTACCCGAGACTAATTATCTCTTCGAGAATCGCGACAGGATCGTACTCGTGGAATCCGGAGGGGTCATGTTGCGGGAGAGGGGGTCATTTTGCCTGCCTTTTCACAATACTGACGAGATTGCCGTGAAAGCATGATAAATGGATAAAATGGTTAGGCACTTGCCATGTTTCGTAATGTTTCAGAGGTATGCTAAGATACTTCCACCCCATCTCTCACAAACAGTTCCCTCACGGAACGTAGCACAGCTTAGTATGCCTTTGGCGCGATGCCGGTTGTTGTGAGGCTATGCAATCTTTGCTGTCGCCTGAACCATCGAGAGTCCGAAAGATCAGGTAAGCAATATGGATAAGATCGCAACGCAAAAGCAAGGCGCTGTTCAATTGATGTCCTTAGTGTTCAAAGCGTAGCCAATGATTTGTATATTATATAGCATAGCAGGGTAATTTTCTATCCTGTCTCCCTGTAGGTCGCTTCCGTTGATCCCTTGCTACCCACAGGGATAATAACCTCTCTTCCAAAAAACTCGTTCCGGCTACAGATTCGCACCTAATTAGCCGAGCAATTAATGCTTACTTTCTCAGGTGGTTAGCTTATGGCGATGAACCTCAACATCTGACACTAGATGTTAATTACGGCGAGACATTGGTCGGAATCGGGGTATGTATGCGTTTGGCGGTTTTCCAGACGTACTGGGCCTTATGGCTAGAGTTTCTACATATAGGGTGCGCGGCAGATGGATAAAAATCGACTTTGCGTCCCTTTCACTTTAGTGGCGCAGTTGCAGTAGCCTAACCCTTACCACCCAGTTACCTGGATTGCACTCCCCTAATTGGGTCTCCTTCTTATGAAACTTCTACCCAGCATTCTCGGGCACACGGTTTCGCAGCTTCTGCTGCCATTAAAGAACGATGAAACACTAACAAATAGACCAGGTGCTGCGATTGGACAGCTTTCTACCAGCAAACTGCGGTCGGACTAGTCTACCCTTAGGAAAATGTATCTCTTGCTGTGCCCTTCAGATCGTTCTTCCCAATTCTAGTGGTACATTATTTATTGGGTCAAGGATGGGCCTGATGTCAACGGGAGCCCCATTGATGAATACATATTCATCAGCTGGGTGTGAGGTGTGCAGCGGGTTCTTGGTGGGAAGCACCGAAGCGGAGTTAATCTATGCATTCGCGGTAAATCAGGTGCGATAATTGCTTCGATAATTGCTCCCACCGCTCAGCGAGTATTATCGCTCCCGGCAAAACAATGCACAAATTATGGAGTACCGTATTCTACGGCTAACGTTTCATATCCATGTAGTCTCTCATCGAACACATTCAACAACTCGAAGAAGCGCAGAAATTATAGTAGAACCTAGTGCGACATAACACCGACAAGGGCTCGATGATCTTCGAATCGATAGCTCAGTCTAGTATTAAGTCGTGCTGATGCGAGCAGCGCCCCTTTTACCTGCGCTATGCATACATAGTTGCTCAGCTATACAGTCCTCCAGGATTGGCTACTTATGGTTATTACTAAGCTTGCTTGATATGATAAAAACACAGACTTGTACAACGGCTGGTTCCCGAATCATCGAATGTGTTGGCCAAAGCGCATTCTAAGCACCATTACGATTTCTGACGGATGTAGGGTGTGTGGCGCACTCCAAAAGGATTGATCAACTCTCAATTCTTATCCAATAACTGATATCCTACCATTTTGATACCACTGTAGGTGTTCAAATAAATCACCAATGCAATTTATCTAAAGTTATTACGGTTCCACACTCTTACTTGCCACACAAAAATGAAAGGCTAGCCTTTGAGCTTTGGGGTACGGTACCCAAGCAGGTTTCATTCAATGTCGCCGATGCGCTTCAGATAAGATTTCGAAAAGATGTAGAACCACCCATCTAAATGTGCTGAATATGGGCTGTAGCACTTTGTCGCAGCTAGGAATCGAATGTGGATCGCCATCCCCATCAGGCAGAAAGTGGCAGGAGATATTGCAAACATTGACCATATCACCTTAAAGGCACAGTCCAGGCAGAAAATTTGTGAACGATTCTCTTCGGTCTGTAGGATAGACTTCCTGAGAGGGCAATCGCAGATGTGGCATTTCCGTGCACGGAATTCGCACAATACGAGCGCTAGGACCATGCAAACTAAGCTGCAGCAGCTGCAATATTTTCGTTTTCTAGATGTCGTCTGGCCCCTCTCGTCTGTTGTGCTCTCTCACATTATACTCTCCTATCCGCGTATAGTCTCTCATGCCTTCGAGCAGACGATTACTAAGGTGAGTAAGCCCTAATTTCAGCGTTTTCGACGGCCAGTTTCTTTTCCTGTCGTCTTTTCATTTTGAAATATTCGTTTATTCCATGGGCAAGAACCACTATGGAATATTGATCATGAGGACATGCTCTTACCTCTTTCATGACAGTAATTCACCAAAGCAGTACATTCACCAAAGCTTATCAGCCCTCACATGTATAACGTGGTGATTAGCATTGAATTAGTCAAATTGAAAGGAGAGATGGCTCATCGTTGCCTAATCTTTGGAATCCTCTAAAGCTGTCAGACTTACGTCTGCAGAGGGCAACACATGGAAGCTTCTTGGAAGGACAGAGGAAATCACTCAAATCATTCAAACATTCAGCATTTTGGGGCGGAGGGAAAACTTGAGGCCAGCTTTCGTCCGTAGAGACCTCAGATGTAGTCGCCGAGTGCATTGCTGAAACCTCGAGATATAATAGAACAAAATCCGTGCACCATTTGCGGTTAGGTTTGCTTTTTCCTCGTGCGACTTTATAAGCCCCTCTACACAGTCAAAGTCGTTGAAATAATATCTATATATGTACAGCTCATTAAATTTATCACTCAGTTATGGACACTGTGCACAAATATTTATCTGTGTGCAATTACGACTCAAGGGAACTACCGTAAGAGTTGTTGTTGTGATTTGTTGTGAAAGAAATCGTATACTGATTTAATGTGCATGAACAGTCCCTTTATCGCCTTTTGCTTCATTGGCGTGCCTATCGTCTGCGGACATCTGTCAAAAAAGACAAATTGATATTAGATCGAATTAAACCACCCACTCGCAGCCGAACCATCAATCAATGTCAATCGGAAAAATCTGCCACTCAGTTACAACCAGACTACCGTACCTTTTTAAACTACTAGCCCCTTCCCAGCATAACCAGCTTGACAAATAGTTCTTGAAGGCATAGGCTAGATGAGTAGTGTGTGAGCCAATCCAGAAGGGAAAAAGTGACAAATAGTTCACAACGTTGAGAAGAGGAATCATCTGTCATCCGCAATTGACAACTGTCCCTACGTTGAAACAACTTGATCACAGCTACGGTAGTTCCACTTTAAACACTGCTTTTCGTACGTAATGCATAACACAAACGAGCTAATGTCAATGTTATTTTTTACGAAACCCCTCTGCCTATTCGGTTAGACGTTTTCGAGTTCAACAAAGTTTCCGGTACATAGTTCAACGCATTTCAATGTCATTCCTGACTGGGTCTGGATATCAGATAAGTGGGGAGGTGCACACTGACTGGCTACACCAGTCTTTACGCGTCAGATTTAGCTCAAGACTCTTCTTAAAGGGCAAACCCGGGATAGTCAACTTTGTGGGAAGAATTACCGCAAGGGAGAAAAACAAAAATAAGGTATCT